AAAATCCAGACAACCTACAGGTCCAGCTTTCCCGGTTGAATGCCTGCCTGTCACCTCCTAAAACAACGGGGATGGCAGGTGGCAGTTCCACCCTTTATTCCAACGTATGCCTGATTTTCCTCTTCGTATTGTGGGTCTCACGGTGCGCCCCTCTGCTCTCTTTTTTCCTCCTTAGACTGCAGCTCTACACTCCCAAGTTGCGGAGCGCCTGGCGTTTTACCAGAGGCTGAAAGCTGCGGCAGACGAGCGCCAAGCTGAGCAAACACTCCGGGAGAAACGGCCGATCCTGGTTTCCTTGCCAGGCGGCCGAAGCATCGAGTGCGAATCATGGACCACCACCCCTTATCAGCTGGCCTTGCAGATCAGGTGACTCTTAAACAAGGAAGCAGGTCTTTGCAAAATGTTTCCTAAAAAATAGATTCCCCCCCAAAAAATACTTTTCCTCGTGGAGTGGCGTTTGTTTATTCCGGGCAAATGTTTGTTTGTTTGTTTTTTTAATCATTCGTGGATCAAAATGAATCTAAACTCTCCCTTGTCCCCCCCCCCCAGCCAGAGTCTGGCCAAGGCCGTGGTGGCGGCACGGGTGAACGGAAGCCTTTACGACTTGGAGCGTCCTCTGGAGGGTGACGCCACGGTGGAATTTGTGGGGTTTGATTCTCAGGCCGGACAAGAGGTGAGGAGCAAGGGGGGGGAGCAGATTTCTTTGGGAAAGAGAAAAGGGGGTGCGGGGTGCAGGTTCAGTCTTCAGTTGGCAGCACCTCAGTCTGTCAAGGGCTTCTCCCCCCCCCCCACCGGGGGGAAAAATGAGGTCCTTTTCCAGCTGAGCTCAGAAGAGGCACTTCCAAGAAAGCGGCATGTCTGTGGATGGAGGTGGCCCAGTGTTGCCCCGATGTCCTTCCATACTAGTTCTCTCTGGGCAAAGGCTAACTCAGCAGGCCGACTCTGATCAGCACCCCCAACCCTCTCCCTCTCTCCCTGAATTTCTTCCCAGCTCTTCTGGCATTCCAGCGCCCACCTCCTGGGCGAGGCTGCCGAGCACTTCTACGGTGCCCTGCTGTGTCACGGGCCCAGCACCGAGCAGGGCTTCTTCTATGACCTGTATTTGGACGAGGAACGGTAGGTGGGAACCTGGGGGGTGGGTTGGCGGGACTTTACTGGCTCCGAGAGGAGGTGGGGTGAGCTTTGCTCACTGCCTTGGAGGAGATGCTTTTGCTGTGTGTTCTGCACTGAGAAGGGGTTGGTCTAGATGGCCTCGGGGGCCCTTTCTGGCTGCAGGATTTTGTAAATAAAAAGAATGGAAATTGTGTCATCCTTGCTCCTCCCGCACGTCTTGCCAGCCTTTTCTTAAGGTCTACCCTTCTCTTCAGGATGAAGTTGGCATGACAAAGTGGGCCAGGGTTTTCTGCCCTGTCAGTGCCCCCCACTGAGCTGGCTCTGGCTCTTGGACCCCTCCTCTGCCCCTGTGCCCCCACAGCAGGAGGGAGGGCAGCCCCACTGCTGCCATTCACATCATTGAGGGAGCCTGCCGTGCTTTTAATGCCCACTAGGTGTCCTCGCAGGCTGTGCTGCGAGGTGGGTGTGGTTTCTCACGGCTTCTTGATTGGGTGGAAGAGTCCAGCAGGTGGCAGCATTGGCTGACTTGGATGGGGGACCACCAGGAGATCCCCAAGAAGGCACCCAAAGACCCTGGCAAAGAGGAGGAGGAGGAACTGCTTCCATATTGCGGTCGAGAAAACTCTTCCTTTGATGACTGAGTTTCCCCCCAGTTTTATTACAATCCCCCCCCCCAATCTTCCCATCCCAGCAACGTGTCCAGTAAAGACCTCCCAGCCTTGGAAGAACTCTGCAAAGCCACCATCGCGGCCCAGGTGCCCTTTGAGCGGCTGGAGGTTTCCCGGGAAGATCTGCTGGAGCTCTTCAAGGTAGGATTCCCATCAAGCCGGGGTTCCTGATGGGAGTTGTAGTCCGTCCCCCTCAGAGGCTAAAGGTGGTGGAACGAAAGACAGCCTCAGGTTTGGGCCAGAGGTCACGTTTTGCATTCCCTGTTGTTGTTGTTGTTTTGAGCCAAGAATGGAGGTTCTTAAACTGGGGGCAACCGCCAGGCGAAACAATTCTGCCCATTTTTGGGGGGGGGGCTTCAGCATTTGGGGTTCCTGCCCTCCCACACTGGGGCTCTTCTCTGCTTTAACGGACGGATTTCAAAGCCTTTGACGGTGCCGCTGCTTCCCCGCTGGAATTTCCCTGCCCACATTTTAATCCCGTAAATTAACATGTCTGGGGAGAGGAACAGGTTGCTCTGGGTTGTCATGGCTGACACATTTTTTTGAAACGGGAACAAAGCTGCGTGGCCGCTACAGGATGTGAGGAGAGCTTGTGAGGTCTGGAAGAGCAGCTTCCTCAAGCCGTTCTTAGTCACGGTGTCTCCAGTAGAGCCTCTGTGGTCAGGAGCAGTATACCTCAAGTGCCAGTTGCTGCAGAGCTGGCTGGCTGTTTGGGGAAACAGGAAGTCGAGCGAAGGAGGCCGATGATCTGAACCAGCAGGATTGTTTACCACCAAAACAGTTTTGCTGCCAAGGGTGACTTACCCACAGTCTGCAGATGAGCCAGCATTTTTCAGAGGTTGAGTCAGAGAATTCCTTTGCAGTCTTATTTACTTGTTGTGTTTTTTTTTACAAATCTCCACAACCGCTGCTTACGATGACCGGCAGTAATAAAAATAGCTGCTGAATTATCACAAGAGCGAAGGTAAACCTGTAATTAAGGCACAATCAAAAACAACGCAGCGGTTAATTGTAACCTACTTTGGCAAGGCCGAACGGCCTAATTTTAGACCTTTGCCTGAATCGTAATGTCTTTCCCGCACAAGAGCAATGGAGAAAGGATCGCACCTCGCCTCTAGTGGCAGGGAGTTCCAAAGCCCCTGGAAACCTTTGGCAAGAGTTTGAAGTGGAGCGAGGTTGCTAACTGTGATTTATTTCAGTGCCTGTGGTTTTTCCAAAGTGGTGGCTCCCTTTAAAAAAACAGCAGGGTCCAGGGCGTTTTTCAGGCTGTTCTGATCATTTTTAGACAACTTAGAAGCCAGGTTTGCCCCGAAACGAGTCGTCCTTCTTTAAAATTGGGGAGGGTTTGATATTATTTACCCTGGAGCAGAGAGGATTTCTGTTCAACCCTGTATAAAATGAATGAGTGGGGAGGGGTCGTAAATGTCCCCCCCCAAGATGTGGATCGGTTTCTCTTCCAGCACAACCGATTCAAACTGGATATCATCAGGCGGAGGGTGACATCTCGGACTGCCACGGTGTACAGGTGAGCCAGGCCTGCCTGAAGCTGTGGCAGGTGGGAAGGGGTGGGTGTGGCTGCCCAGTGGCCCCTCCCCAGATCTGCCACTCCAGAGGGTGTCCCTGGCCCTCTCCGGCCTCTGGCTTCCTCTATGGATTGGCTCGCTTGCTGGGGTTACCGACAGGCCTGTGGCTTTGCCGTTGTGCCCTTCTTAGGGATATCATCAGAAAATTGTGGATGGAGCCTGGAGAAGGCTGATGGGCATCGGTGTCCCCTCCACCTTGCAACCTTGCCCTGGATATCCAGAAACACCCTGGCATATACTTTAGCAAATGCTGCCAGGGTATCAGCAGCGCGTTTCGTCATCCGCTCATGAGGGCTAGAAACCCGAGCAGTGTTTGGATGACTTATTTTTCAATGACAGCTGTAACGCTCGTGAATTTTGCAACGGTGGCAACAGAGGCGGTTGCGCGTATTGCAGCAAACCGTCGAGGAACTCAGACGGCCTGCCTTCCTGCCGCGTGGCCTGATCCTGCTTCCTCTTTTCTGTGCGTAGGTGCGGGACGTTGGTCGACCTCTGCCAGGGGCCCCATCTCCGGCACAGCGGGGAGGTCCGAGCCCTGAAACTCCTCAAGGTTTGCACACACACACACACACACAAACACCCGGGACGAAAGTAGCCGAGTGGTTTGCCATCACGTGCCGGGCGGATGGTTGAAATGTTCCAGGCCCTTCCGCGTTGCAAAGGGAATTTAGTTTAAAAGTGTAGGAAAAAGTCACCTGTTTTTGTAAACAGCTGTCAGGCCGTTTAAAACGCTCAATAAATAAGAATACACTTCGTGTCCTGGTCCAGGGCTCTCCAAACCTGGCCAATTTAAGACTTGTGGACTTCAACTCCCAGAATCCCTCAACCAGTTCTATGGCTGGCCGGGGGGATTCTGGGAGTTGAAGCCCACAAGTCTCAAAAAGTGACCGATTTTGAGACCTTGGCGTAAACCCTTCCAACATCCCGGAGACCGGTTTACTCCAGAGCAACTCCTGGGGCTTGTAAAGAGGCAGGACTTCCCTCCTTGCCCTCTGCAGTCTGCGTAGCCTCGAGTGGCTTTCCCCGTGCTGAAGCAGAACGATGGGAATTGTAGTCTCTCCAATTGAGACAGGGCCTTTCCCCGTCCTCCCGGGAGAATGCCCTTGGGGGACCATGCTGTGTGGGTAAATCCGGGGCTGGCTGATGAAGCCAAGAGGGCAGGCCGGCCCCTGGCCGAGCTGGCACAGCCCCCAGGAGCCCCCTCAGGGGTGCCACCCGCCCTCGTCTTCCTTTGCAGAACGCCGCCACCTCCTGGCAAGGCCGACCCTCCGGAGAGCCCCTGCAGCGCATCTACGGCATCTCCTTCCCAAGTGCCCAGCAGTTGGCCGCCTGGGAGCGTGCCCAGGAAGAGGCTGCCCAGCGGGACCACCGGCGCATCGGGAAGGTGGGTGCCCATGGCGCAGGCCTCGCCCCTCTCGCTCCCTCACCCCCCCCAAGCCTCTAACCGTGCCCCCTGGGGATGACCCCCTGGGCCACGGAGAAACTCTGGCGGTGCCCAAGGACCTCTTCGCAAACTTCAGTGCCTCGTGGACCATCCGGGGTGGTTTTGCCCAGGATCACAATGCCCACGCAGCCGAAATCTTGGAAGAATAGCCATTTTCTGAGCGCTCTCTAGAACATAAGGACTAGAAACTTGGGGAGTTTTCATAAGATTCCTCGATTGCAGGAAGTGGCTTTTGCCAGTCCGGATTGAATTTAGGGTTGACATTGAGCCGTGGGGGGGGGGGGGAGGAAATCTGTTCTTGCCTGGTTTCTCAGTGGTGAATTTTGGAAATCAAACCCTCCCGCAAGGATCCTCCCAGCTCAGCTGCTTCCTCTCTTCCCGATTTTTCCCCCAGGATCAAGAACTTTTCTTCTTCCATCCGCTGAGTCCTGGAAGCTGCTTCTTCCTACCCAAAGGGGCCCACATCTACACCACCCTCATGGACTTCATCAAGGTGTGTGTCTGTGTGTGTCTGTGCGTCGTGTTGGATGGGACAAAATGCAGCAGAATCCCCCTAGGTGGGTGGGAGGAGGAACATTAGAGGTGGATAACAAAATAACGCCCAGCCTGGTGGAAGGAAAAAGGGATCCGCTGGGCTGGTGCCTCCCCTCGTCTTCGCCGTTGGATTAAAAAGAAAAAAGAAATAAATAAATTGGCTCTTTTCATCTAATGGGCGCATTGGTTTCCAGAGCGAGTACCTCAAGCGGGGCTTTTCCGAAGTGATCACCCCCAACATCTTCAACGCGAAGCTGTGGGAAGTCTCCGGTCACTGGGAGCACTACGGCGAGAACATGTTCTCCTTCCCCGTGGAAGACCAGATGTTCGCCCTCAAGCCCATGAACTGTCCCGGGCACTGGTGAGGTTCTTTTTCCGGGGGAGATTTAAGATCCAGAGACAAATCCAGCGTCACGTGCCTGATTAACGAAACACTGAAAAGGTCTTTCAGGCATATTTTCTCCTAAAAGCGTTTATTAAGGTTACAGAGACGTCAGTACGGCATGGTGGAAATGCTTAGGTCTGCTTCTCTTCCGTTACGCATAACATTCCAAGCATTTCCCACTCCCTTCTTGTAGGGTCATGGTTCACATCTTCCAATCAACTTGGAAGATGTGATTTACTTCAGGTTTCTTTTTTCCCGGGCTATCCTTATTCTCCTCCCTTTTCCCTGTTGCCTGGTTTAACTATAAAAATACCAGACAGTTCTGCATATTGTCAAAGCAAGAATATACAGTATTTACAGCGTTGACATCCAGGCCCCTGGGAGGACCCGGAGATCCCGCCGGCTTCTGGAATCGGGGGAACGATGAGGCGTTTTCCTTTTCCGGGGGCTTGAGATCGTCCCTCTCTTGACAGCCTCATGTTCGGCCACCGGCCCCGATCCTGGCGGGAGCTGCCCCTGCGGCTGGCTGACTTCGGGGTGCTCCACCGCAACGAGCCCTCAGGGGCCCTGACGGGGCTGACGCGGGTCCGGCGCTTCCAGCAGGACGATGCCCACATCTTCTGTTCCATGGATCAGGTGGGGGAGGCTGGTCGGGATGCCAGCGTGGCTGAACCGAGAGCTTTACCTCGCCCTGCGGGGCTGGCACGCCTGGTGCCCACTTGGGAGGGAATTACCCAGGCAAGCCCTTGAGAGTCCCCTTCTCCCCCCCCCTCTTCCCAATGCAGCTGGAGGGCGAGATCAGTGGCTGCTTGGATTTCCTGCAGGCCATTTACTCCGTCTTCGGATTCACCTTCCGCTTCTTCCTCTCCACCCGCCCCGAGCACTTTCTCGGGGAGCCCCCTCTCTGGGACCAAGCCGAGCAGGTGAGATGGGTGCCCGCAGCATCACCCGCCCTTCCTAACAGGGAGTCCCCCCCTTTGGGGGCGAGGGGCCCAGGGGTCTCCCTCCAGCCCAGCTGCCGGGGCAGAGAGCCAGTGGGCTTGGGGGGGCCTCACTTCCCGCTTCCCATGGAAGGTGCCCTCCCTGAGGTTGGCACAGCCACTCTGCAGGCGGGTCTGTTTCCTTTTAAGGTGGGTCCTTAAAAGGAGGTTCTGGGCTTCCCCACTGGCCCATGCCAGGGACGGGCCTTTCGCGCCTCCCCGCACTCGGCACCCGGGACGGGTTCAGGACAGCCTGCCTGCCGGCCTTGAGGAGGCTCCTAACGGCTCCCTCTTTCTCCCAGCTGCTGGAAAAGAGCCTCCGGGATTTTGGCTGGCCGTGGGAGCTCAACCCCGGGGACGGCGCCTTCTACGGGCCCAAGGTCAGTCGGGCGGAAGGGCTTAGGGCCAGCTAGAATCGGAAAATGGAGGTCATTTTGGCTAGGGGGGGATATTTTAACAGGGGACTCCCAGACGAGGGCTCCTCCTCCACCACCCTTCCCCCCCCAGGGAAAAGGTGGGAAGGGTGGAGAAGGGCAGCCAAAACGGCCCCCGCTTTGGGGGTTGCGAAGGGGAAATCGCCTTCGTCTTTTTTGCCGCTGCCTCGCCCTGATGGCCCCTTTCGGACAGGCCCGGACAGGATTCAGAGAAAGCCGCTTCAGGCATGAATCACCGCCCTGGGGACGTCACCACGTTTATGCTCTGGGCGTGGCCCCCCCCAGGCCTGCTCTGCCCCCCCCTGCAGGTTTACGGGATTACTCTGAGCGATCTCAGCCTCGTAAATCCCTGAGTGGTGACTTTGCCGGCTGGAAGGGCAGCGAGGGGCCAGCCGACTCCTTGACCTGGGTCCAGGTTCTCCCGGTCCCGCGCTCGGCATTCCTTTCCGTTGAATGGGTCTCATCCAGGAATCCCCTGGTCCACCTCAGGGGGCCCTTGATGCCAACCCCACGCAGGGCACATGGGCAGGGGGGTGGAATTATCTCTGGCCACGGAATTGGGTGGCTGTAGAGCCATATGCTGAATGAAAGCAAGCGGGGCCAGGTTTCTAGTTCTCATGAGTCCCAGTTTTACAGCCCCCTCCCCTCCGAATTGCGTGACCTCCACGCGAAGCTTTTTCGAACCAAATCAATTCCCTGCCCAGGAAGGCAGAAACTCTGGAGCTGCTTCCTTTAAACGGAGCAGTAGGTGTGAATTGCACAACTGGATTTCGACACCTGGATTCCCCGAGCCCCCAGACGCTCAGGGCCTCCTGCGCCGGGTAACTAGCGCGAAGGGCGGCCCCGATTCTCCACCCAGTTCAACTTCTGTTATTTCAGTAGCCGTGGGGGAAGATGCTTCTGCAGGGCTGGGCTGCCCTCCGATGCCCGGATGCCGCCTCCCGTCTCGTCCGGCTTAGCGGCGGCGGCAGAGTTTAGAAGCCAGAGGGCCCAATCCTCAGGGGGGGGGACTAAATCTTTCCGTGGGTTTTTTTCCCGCCTCGAGATTCCCGTGTCTTCTTAGCTGCCGGTCTGTCTCCTCGCAGCCCAACCGGTGGAGCTTAATATGAGCAGAGCAAAGTCCGTGGGCTTACTCATTGGTGCTTCCTCTGGCTCTGCAGGTGGACATTCAGATCCAGGACGCTTTGGGCCGATACCACCAGTGTGCCACCATTCAGCTGGACTTCCAGATGCCGCTTCGCTTTGACCTCTCCTTCAAGGGGTGAGGGCCCCTCCCAACCCCAGAGCTGGCTGGGACCCCTCCCTCCCTGCCTCCCTCCCTCGCAAGGCCCCAGCTGGGAAAACTTGGGGACCCCTCCCGGCCCCAAGGCTCTTTCCTCTGCAAAGTGGCCCCTCCCGTCATCCCCAAATCCTGTGTTGTTTTTTCTTACTCCCCTATTTTTGGCTACCCCTCCAAAAACGAAGAACAAAAATTGAGTTATTTATTATTATTGTTATTTATTAAATTTATATACCGCCCTATCTCCCTTACGGGACTCAGGGCGGTGGAACAGGCGATACTAAAAACCACGATAAATATACATAAGTTTCTGTTCTAAAATCAAATTAAATAACAGGCCTGCTCTTAAAACACCCCATACAAAACCCCCACTAAGACATTTATTTATTTATTTATTTATATCCCGCCCTTCTCCTTGCGGACTCAATCAAACTACGCCAGTTGCCCAGACTCCTAATTTCAGGGCTCGGGGCAAACGGCATGACGGGTAGCCAGCCTTGGAAGAAAGTGGCCTTTTTGGTCAAATCTGTGGGGCCTTCTCCTTTTTTTTAAAAAAAAAAAAAAAAAAAGGAAAGAAGGATGATCTAAAAACGTCAGCTCCGGCAGGCCGTCGGCCGGGACCGCAGAAGCTCTGCGTGACGCCTGCGGGGCCTCAGCGACGCAGGAGAGGCTGGCGCTTCCGTCAGACGGGGCCGCGGAGACCCACTTCCCCTTTTTCCTTCCCTTCCCTCCCTCGGGTGATGCCTCCGTGCCCCCCTGGCCACCCAGGGGAAGAGGAACCGCCAAGCAGGAATGCC